CTTATTATCTCACTAAACATTGTCTAGGGATAAATGTAAGTATATTAATATAATTGTACTTTCAAAGATTGTTGTTAAGTAGATCACGGAGCTTATCACTTAAAAGCTCCTTCAATCAACGTTGACGCTTAGAAGTGGCTAATAACACAAATGATTTAATTTACATTTTGTATTTAATCTACTTTTCTTTAAGTTTGGGCTCAACAAGATAACGACAGGTTATAAAAAATTGTCAGATTCCTTCAATTGCTTATAAACCTTAATGCATTGAAGATAGTGTTGAAAATCAATTACAGTGGTAACATGACGTTCTGATGTGTATACGTTAAGGTCGATTATCGGATCGGTGACCAACATTATTTTTTTAAAGCTTCTCTGTTTCTTCGGAAGACATGTTAAACAGTTAGCAATCCGCAATTAACCCTCGTGAAGGATAATACTTTTTTTTTTCAGTTTAAATTGTTTTTCTCTTTTTATTTTCCATAACCTCAATAAAATCACTCAATAACACAGTCGTAACAGATTTAAAAAAAATTGAATCCTAATCTCGAGATTATAATGTTTCGGTCACCCAGCCCATAATCGGCCCTTGTGAAAGTTGCTTAATCTGATAGTTATGGTATGGACTTTTCATGTTGAGTCCATTGCGTAAAGGTCAAAGTAATTTTAACGAAGAAGGAAAATATGAGTCTCATTTCACAACATATTTAATGTGAATTTGTACATGTGTATTAAAGTTTATTGACTGTTGGTCGATAAACTTTAAAACGTGACGTATACTAATGGCAATATCAGTATTAGGATAAAAAAAACGCTATGACATTGTAAAGTTAAACATAACATCTACTTAAAAATAAAGTAAAATACCTACTAATATAAAACATGTAATTTACAGGTGAATATTCTATAAATTTACAACTTAATTTTTGACCCTATAGTTATAAACGTTAAAGTTTTTGTTATAAAAATCCAAACACAGATAACAATAAAAAATCACCATTACATATTTTATTACTTTAACTCACTCTATATCTCCGTCACAACTAGCAAAATTTTAGAGACTCGCCCCTTCGTAGTGTTATGATAAAATTCAACAATTTTACGCTAAAAAAGTATTGAACAGTAACAGCACTTCTAAATTTTGTGTAAATTAAATGGAAATTCAGTTTAAATTATTTGAAGTACTAAGTCCGAATATGTTTTTTATTTTAAATTTTGAAATGTGACGAGACAAATTTTAGAACTCGCTGACCACTCGTCACAGTTTATTGACCTCCCTTTACCCCCCATAATATGTGATGGATGACCCCTAGTTATAACCGGAACACGATTTCTGGAACACACAGATAGCATCAAAAAAACCGGTATATACTTCCACAGAGGTCATAAAGTATAACATTGTAACGACATGACATACCTTTTTTCGCAAATAATGTTCCCTTTAGTATATCAACATAAATTTTTGCTTAAAGTGTTTAGTGGTAGCCTAAAAGACTCAGTACGTTTGCGATTATAATTAAAAGAAGTTATGAATGGATGGTAGGGAAAACACAGACTACAAACGTAACTACAATTAGAATAAAGAAATTTTTGACTTGATGTTCGAGTAAACTTATTCTATAAATGGTAGCAACGGATGCATCTTTTATGTTAATACGGCCTTACAACCTAGATGCCAAGTTGAGCCACGGATGACGCTTAAGTAACAGCTTGCATAACTTTACCAAATAAAAAATCATCGTCGACACATTCACAAAGGTAATATGAAATTGTAGGAAGACATACGGATGTACCTGTACTAGCACTGATTTTAGACTATAAATATATTCTACATAGTGATATGTCAGCATTAAATAACCAATCTAAGACTAGCTCTAGGTAATAGATAGAAAAAAAACTAGGTCATTTCAACTTATGGCAATGGAAAATCGATAGGTCAAAGAATGATATAAATGAGGCAACTCTGGATTTGACGAGTCCGCAAACTGTTACAATAATTTATCTATTGTGATAAATAGAAGAGTTAAAAAACATAAAATACTTGGATAAATATACATTTATTTAATAAAGTCTTTAATTAAATATAAACTGATTCTTTTGAATTAGATCCATGACGTGACAGTGCCGAGTACAGCGACAAGTCCGAAACTGTTATGAAAGCATATTACTACAGGAAATGATTTCATAATGAACTGCCGGTCATCACTACTGTCAATCGACTCTGGAATAATAAAAAAAATATCTGAAATAAATAAAATTTACCAATTTTAGTTATTACGCATATTGTACAACAATAGTATTATCAACGAATTTGGATGACATGGCCTATTAATCAATTAATGAAAGAATATTTTTGATTGAACTCTATATTATCCATATGAAATAAAACAAGGAGAAAACATTCCCTGCTGAGTTTTATGTCGGTTCTTCGCAGCATATATTTTTTACACTTACTAATACCTAAGTTATAACTTACTAGATTAAAGTGACAAGATCTGGTGTCGTAGATTCGCGAACCGATGCCATTGCTTTCGAATTTCACAAGTGCTTACAGCCACCTTTGTCTGAATAAATGATATTCAATTTGTGATTGAAAGTCTCCTACTAACGTGAAGCAATTCATGATCCAAATCAACGTGAAATTTTTATCAAGACAGTTACGTGGTAAATTCAGAAGTTGTCAATATTCTCTTTCATGAAAAATAAGCTTAAAATATTCGATAGTACTTTGATGAAAAAGGCCCTTAATGAGTGACCGAAAGTGTGTGAACCAAGTATTTACTTTGATGCAAGCTGTTACTTAACGAAGCTAGTTATGGTACGTGGTTAAGTAACTAATAGATCACGCGAGAAGTGTTATAAACGTCACACATCAGTGAAAATGGCCAATATGTTAGCTAATGCTTGGATTGCTAAACAATTATTATACTTGAATTGTTCACATGGATTTCGGAATCAGCCCTAACAATACCTAGAGGTGGGGGCACCCTCTAACTGAATGAAGTGAATAGCATTAATACCCCACCTAAGCAAGTTTAGGGCTACAAAAGTTGATATACTGCTGCCAAATATAGCTCAACTCTTATGGGACTTCCTCGCTTACTTACCCCAAGGTTAAGTATACAGACAGGGGCATACCGATTAAAAAGCTTCAACGTGTCTCCCAAATTTTAGATGCTTGGTGCAATATACTCACCGATAGATTATTAACTTATGCGCCAATATTACACACTTCACATAATAACGATAATAAAAAAATAAGTTGTACTCCAAAACATTTCTCGTAAATCCATCCATTGAAGAAAGTAAATTAATACGATTTAGTAAAATAAAAATTACACTACTCTTAAAAAAATATGAGGGTTTAAACATTAAAATAGTGCGCATCAACTAAAATAACCTCCTCAGTTTATCGTCAATTAACAAGTCTTCGGTATACTAGCTGTTTTCCCGCGACCACACCCCTGTAAATTTTAGCCTATGTCAACCACTTATAATTTAATAAACAATTTTTAAAATAGCTCCAGTCGTTTAGGAGGCTTTCTATGCAAACAAATAAATAATCTTTGTCCTCTTTATAATGTTACCTCTTTATAGATTGAAAATAAGTGCACAATTTCTTTTGTGGTTTACATATAAATCTAAACTTCTTTATTTACAAGCTAATGCTAGTAGCTGTTTTAGTCCAAAGAATGACTTAAAGTCCAATTTTGGTATGTAACTTAGTTTTCCACAGATCTCCAAAGGAGAAGTTTAAAGAAGAAATAGTTATTTAATTTCTTTCAATATTTTCTTATAATTGTTTCAGATTTAATATTGTGGAAGCGATCCCTACAGTATCAGGTCTACAAAAGACAATAACAATGGATTTGTACTATAAGTAAGTACCTAACGACAGCCAAGCATCAAAATCACTGAAGTCTTAAAAACCCTAACATATTTACTATTTATTTAATTTCTTTGATATAAACCAGAAAGCACAGCAAATTCGTGTTCTAATTATAGTAGTACAATTATCGTATCTTAATGCCAATTAAAGATTTTCATCATTTTATAATACAAAAATTAAATAATGTTCAAACATTAGAAAGAAAAACAACAGCAAACCTTAAAGAAATATTTTGATTCTAGCAGCACATTTAACTCTACCTAGGTATTTTACTTATTCATATAAGTAATACATAGGGTAGAGATAACCTAGTTTTAGCTATTTAGTACTTAAAGGGCGTTCGAACTTACATATAGGCAAATATAATACTTTATGGTAGATGGTCTTTAAAAGTTCCCAGCTGCAACATAACAATGTTCTTAACTTTTTGAATGGCCAAAATCAGATCTTGATATTACAACAGCCAAAATTGTAAGCCTTCTGAACAAGGTCGTTCCATCTGACCCTAACTGGATAAAAATCAAGAGTGAGAGTGAGTAATATTAATAATTAAATAATAACCATTTGTAATAAAAATAATTAAATAAAAAAACAGGACATTTGTTCTACGAGATCTATTTTGTAAAATAATTTTACTGTCCTTTTATATAACACTCAAGCATCTCACAGAAGTATGCGACGGATCAGCTGTCGATTGTGCAAGGTTGTATGTCGTAACATATATTTGTCAGTTTTAAAGTTCCGTGACCGTTGAGAAGAGACGCATCTTCCCTCAGATATGCACCCATTCTAAAAATTTGTGGAGTACCTAGCGCCACTTCTTCTCCGCATATAAAAATTCCAAACGGGTGATAGGAAAAAATTAGCTTCAACCAAGTTATATTAATAGTACCGATTAGATTATTTTTTTTTCCTTTGACTAAGATATTGATTATAGAATAGTTAGAATGCATTACTAATGCACGGAACAAATTTGTATGGGAATACTCTTGAATGTTTTTGTTAAAAGCTCGTTCTTTTAAAATAAATCATACCTACTCATTAAAACACTTTTAAACTCATTTAACTGAATGTGGTTAATACCTGCTGCAATTTATTTAATAACAGAAACATGGAAAATCTCAACGGCAATGATCCAGCAATGCCCAACCTCAACGAACCTGTCATCTCCGAAGTACCAAGCGCGGAAAACGTTGAAGCTATATCTGATTATTACAACGGTGCCGTGATCTTAGTAACTGGTGGGACAGGTTTCGTGGGGAAAGCACTTTTAGAGAAATTGCTAAGGAGCTGTCCAGGAATAGATACTATATATGTTCTGATGAGGCCAAAACGAGGTCTGACTGTCGAGCAAAGGTACAAGGAACTTCTGAAGAATCAGGTAGGTTAATACCAGTTTTAGTAAAGTGGATTGTAATTCATAATATTTATATAATTTCAATAATAAAAAATGTAGTTTCTATTAGGCCAGTATGATCCACCGTATGATCCAGACACACTCTTGATTTTCTTTATTCAGTCAATAGAACTAATTTCTAATGTATCCGTTCATATATAGTTTGTTTGAACGAATGTAAGACTGGAATGTTTATTGCCTAACACCACTTACTATATTTCTCGCTAGAGAAAACTGAGCGACTGAAAAGGATGCGCTGACGAAAAAAGGAAATATCGTGCTGCCAGATGTGGCTTAACCTGCCTTAATGTTGCAAAACTTTATTTTTTTATAAATAACGATAGCAATAATTATTTTTTAACAATTACTTCTTATAGGTGTTCGATAGAATACGTACTCGTTGGCCAGAACGTCTCAGCAAGCTGTACCCAATCACCGGCGACGTATCACAACCAAAACTCGGAGTCAGCAATGAACAAGCAGAATTGCTGTTAAAAGTCACCACACTTTTTCACTCAGCAGCTACAGTCAGGTTTACTGAGCCTCTACATGTAGCGACCACTCTCAACGTACAAGGAACTGCGTCACTACTGAAGCTTGCTGAAGATATGCCTTTATTGAAGGTATGTTTTTACAATGTCTTAAATTCCCATTTTACTCTTATTACCAAGTTAAAACATGAACTACTTCATGGATCATAAGATTTCCAATATAGTTTATATTCTCTGTTTTCTTCTAGTATAATATAGTTTTGTTCTCTTATGAACTTGAGTGGTAAATAAACCAAAGGAATGCCAACATAGGTTTTCTAAAATCCTTTTTTTTCATTCCTGTCAGGCCTTGGTCCATGTTTCCACGGCTTACAGCAATGCTCCCAGGCCTGACATCGAGGAGATGGTATATCCGCCACCGTATGATCCCGAAACTATCATAAGATGTACCAAAATGTTTCCTGCGGAGACCATGGAAGTCATATCAACAACCCTTCAGGTAAAGTTCAAGAGGTTTTTCCCTAAATCTCAACTAAATAAAATAACTGAAGACCAAAATAACATGTAAAATATATGCAAGTAATTTGTGGTTGAAAGATAAACTATCATTACTATCGATTATCGAACTTATCGATTACTATCAATATTAATATTGATAGTGAATATTTCTTACTCAAGATCATTAAGTGAATTTAATTCAAGTCGATGCCAAACAAACGGAAGCCAATCGATTAACATAGTCTACTGCAGGTTTGGACCAAGAATCAGTAGACTGAACTCACTAATAACATAACTGATATTTGTCTCTAGAATCAGGCGCTTTCTTGCGGAAATCCATTTATAGATATCGCTGGGTAACTTTAGATATCGCTATATATCGTAGTATCATAGTTATACTACGATATCTACCAACTTCTACACCCAATCAGTATCTACAATACCTGCTGTGCACCAACCGCACACAAATTTACATACACAAGCATCAACATATCTCACTTCCACCACCCTGTACGTGTAAAAGTTATATTTAATGAAAGTGTTAAAAAATCGACCAGCCCTTGGTACCTCGAGATGAAATATAGATATATCAGTATAGAAGAAGAGCTCAAGGGCACGTGCTTGATCAGCGATATGTTTATACTTTGAGGAACTTTGGCCAGTCATAAGATAGGTGAACAGAAATTTATTATCTCAAGCTCTTTTGTGCTTCGGAAGGCACGTTATGGCGCTTGTCCCGGCTGCGTTTATAGTCGTTAACCCCCACTACTCCGCCCTTAGCCCGCGTGTTAGTCATGGTCTCTATTCGATTTTATTTAATTTCATCCCTAGGGAAGGCCTGAGCCCCAGCAGTGGGGACATTCATAGCCTGATGATGATATGATAAACTCCTCTGTTTTGTTACTGCTTGTTATAGGCAAAGTAAAACAATTTTAAATCTTGTTTTAAAGGAATTGGACCATTTATTAGCTGCACACACTTCTAACGGGAGGTGACAATTTTAAGATACAATAAAATAACAAATGAAAATCGCAATCAGTTCTAGATTAACAACAAACTTTTTTGGTAATTTATATTAGTTATAAATCAACTGCTTGTGCATTTTAATTTGTGTGCGAATGGTGCACATCAAATATTATAGATATTGATAGGTTTGGAAGTTGCATATTATCGTAGTTTCGCAGACATTACTGACGTTTGTTTTTGTTTTAATGCAGGGTGAACATCCCAATCCTTACACCTTGACCAAAGCCCTAGCCGAATCAATTGTCTACAGCCACTCCAATCTGCCAGTGTGCATTGTGAGACCCTCCATAGGTAAGTTTTAGTGCCACTAAACTTAAATATTACAAACTAGCTGACCCAGCGAACTTAGTACCGCCATATTTTATTAGGGGTTAAATTTTACAATTGCGGTTTTATTGTAATAGGTTCCTTGAAATGACAGAATCTTCATGGTTTGAGGTTTTCGAAATAAACTTGATTTGATTGTTTTTGTTATTCAACTTAGACAACAAAGATGGATACTGCGAAAATTCGAGTGTTTTTTTGAATACGAGTTCCGACGCACAAGTAACGCGGCAGAAACAGCCCGCAATATCGATGTTGCGTTTGGAGAAGGGTCTGCTAATGAACGCACCATGCGATTTTGGTTTAAACAGTTTCGTAATGGAAACTTCGACTTGACTTAATGTGCAACGGCCATGCATAAAATCTGAAACATAAAGTCTGATCATAATAATAAAAAATAGCAGTAATGAACCTAAGACTCTGCTTGACTTTGCTTAGAAATTTCATTTTTTTTTTATAGAGAAACAAGCCCTCCATCCATACTTGGCTAGTTTTTACAGGATGTTTTTTTTCAATTAGACACCCATTCAATTAGGCGGATAGCTATTTAATTAAAAAAATAAGAAAATTTGATATGAAAATTGACCCAAATACTTAAATTAGACAGTATGAGAAACAATAACATATTTTGATAAAATAAAGATTACTTATTTTCATTAGTAAAAATTGGCCTTTTGAAACCTATTGATGTTGGCAACGATAACTTATCGACCTGGCGAACTTAATGAACTGCCCTTTAAATCATTTAACTTTTCCGTTCTCTACTTAAAAATCTTTATTTGGAAATAAAGACATATTGAAAAAAAACCGGATTTTTTCTACTATTAGAATTCGATTCATTTTCAGAAGATAAATTAAATCATGATATGTTCGAATCACGTTCGAAAGGTAACAAAGCATTGCTGTCCTTAGGAATTCCAAAATGAGGATATCCTTAAAAACAATGTTATTGGCGACTAAATAACCTTTTATTAAGAGTATTTTGATTTATAACCGTATTTAACGAGCCGTAATAAATAGATACTCACGTTATTTTAATAAAAACGTTCTTTTATCTCTAACGTCGTGGGTTTTAAATAGTTCAATTAAACATGTACACGCGCGCGGCATTTTCCCATCAACTTCATAAAATAACCACGAATCGTGACTTTCGTTATTGATTTTATCACGACATTTGTTCGATTCACATGGATTAACGGAATTACTTGTTCCTTAGACAGTTCCAAAACATTTCTCTGAATTATGTCACGGGAATCCAATACCTTACTCAAAATTAATTAAAGACAATTAAACAAGAACTTGTTTTCATTGCACATTTTATTTCCTACGGCATCTTTATTATAGCGTGTTTACGAAGAGATTTTTTTTAAATATTATATATCAACTGATATAAGTTATTGTTTGATTTAATATTTATTAAAACTGTCTATTTTAATAGTAGTGGATAAATTGTAGGTAATTTGACAAAAAATATGTACAGTACGTTATCATTATAAGCATTATTCTACAAAAGAGTTGGGGAACAGAATAATACGCGAGTTCCACTAAAACAAAAAGAATTCAAATTTGAGGTAAAAGTTTATGTATATTTGGGTTATATAAGAAGCCCAATACTGCAATCCTAACTCCTCGTGACGTCAAACGTGAAGGGTTTGAGCATTTTCCGATCTGTAAAAAAATACTTCTATATTTTTTCATCAAAAAATTTGGTATCAAGATGAACTTACAAAACTCTTAAAAAAATAAACCGAAACAACTACGATATCGGTAACATATTAATGATTTCTTATCGAAATTCTAAAGAATTTTATTAAAATGCAACTGTGCATTGGACAACTACTCAATATGTAGTCATCTTATATCGTATTATGTATCTATATTTGTGTTATTGTATGTATATATGTATTTTTAGTCAGTTTTTATGCATGTCTACGCATAGTTAATCTTTACTTAATGCCGCTATCGCGTTTATCGTTTTTCCTAAAGGTTGACTGGGAGAGAATGCCATTAGCATTAAGTCCACCTTTTGTACCTTTTTTTCTTACTAGTCAATTTTAATAAATAAAAAATTTGATGGATGTTTGTGCAACTGGGTGTTAATCCCCTAGAAGGCGTTTCTACTTAACTCATCTACACTACCATTATTTTTATTTTAGTGACAGCTGCGTACCAAGAACCATTTCCGGGATGGATTGACAATATTTATGGAGTCACTGGTTAGTATATACTTTAAGATACCTCCTCAATGATTGATGAATTAAAAAAAAATGAACTTATTTTGCTTAGAAGTTATTTAATTGTTAAAACTTTTTTCTCCTAATCGGGGTCGAGGTCAAATTATGTGATGATCGAAGTGATAATACAGGTTTCTGTTATATGTTCGGAAAATTCGAACCATTTTAACTTATAAATATTAAACTAAATAAATTTTATTGCACTTATTTGGAAAATATTACGCTTCATCATCATCATCACGAGCCCTTTTACGTCCTCACTGTAGGGGCCTTATGGATGGTTAAGGAGGTTATAGTTATATTAATATTACGCTTAGAAAACATGAAAAAGTAGGAAAAATATATTCCAAAAAGTTGCTAAAATACATTTGGAATTAAATTTGTTATATAACTCGTAACAACTTTTATTATTACAGCTATAAACATAATCGCAAAAATAAAAAATATATTACAATGATTGTCCAAACGGCAATACGTTTTTCGCTACCGCAGCACTGTATGACGCAATTTAGTGGCTTGAATTTGTAGGGAGATTTTTCTACCGACTAGCAGTAATTCTACAAGCACCGTATCTCTGAAACAATTATCGCAAAGGTCGATGCTGTTACTACTACATTATTTCTCAAATAATAATAGACTATTTATTTATAAAATAAAAAAAGATATTGCCAACTAGCCTAATCTAAAGTAAATTTGTTTTTAAACTATTAAATAGATAACATAATTATATATAATATAATAAAATTAACTTTTGTAATTTCCAAGGTCTGATCATGGAGATAGGCAGGGGCACATACCGTTCAGGATACTGCAAAGAACGATATGTGGTAGACCTCGTACCCGTTGACTTGGTCATCAACTGCTGCATTCTTGCTGCTTGGAGACAAGGCACTAAAAAGTAAGTGCATATAAAACTCCCTTATTTGAGAAGTTCGACAGCGCAGTAGATAGCGAGTGCCGTCTGCGAAGCAGAAGTTAAGCAACTTTTGCAAGGGTCATGGGATAAGTGGCCAAAAAATTTTTATCTCGTGTTCATTCGTGATTTTAAAGACATGTTAAGCCTTTGGTCTTAGCTGCATCTGCAGTAGTAAACATTCACCATCCCACATTGTGGGTCATGGACATCCATGACAAGGCATTCCTTCTATAAACCATTGCCTGAACAGTAGGACTATTAATTTACTGGTGATAATTAATTCTCTATCCGTATCTAGTCAGAGCCATCATAAAATTTTGTTTTCAAAATTTCATTCTAATTTATTCCAGAGCAGGTCATTGCCCCGTCTACAACGTGACATCAGGATCAATTAACCCCCTAACATGGGGTCAGTTTACCAGATTTTGCGTCCAATGGGCCAGAGAAAATCCTTCAAAGTGAGTATGGATATTTGGCTAATATTTGTACATACTGAAGGACAGGGTAGTAAGCAATTTTTATACTATCTCTGCGGAAGTTATATAGAATTCCTTCATATATTAGAAAGCATATAAAGCCTATATTTATCACGATTTCTTTTACAGCTTTTCACGTAGGATATACGACCCGGTTTTGCCCCCTTGCCCCTTTTGACTCTAGGTTTTAAGGCATTATTTCTTACACATAGGCAAATATATTACTTTCCAAACACGGTCTTTTAAATTTTGTATTAGTTTCCTTATGTGATTTTATTCATAGAGAAGATACCTGTTACGCTAGTAATACCAATACATGTGAGTTGTTATGTTATGTTTTAAGCACACATATTACCACCACCACCACTCAAAAATATACCTTTATCTTTTTCAGATACGTGATGTGGTATCCCAACTTCTCATTCACGGAGTCACGATTCATGAATACATTTTGGGAAATATCTTGTCATTTCTTACCCGCATTTCTATATGATATATTATTGAAAGCTCAGGGGAGGAAGGCCATGTGAGTATTAAAGAATCTTTAAGACTAAACCTAATAATCCTGAAGCATTCTGCAACAAGCATTCACAGATTTCTGCAAATGCTGTTACAGCTGTGTGCTATGCTGGTAAATGATACTAAAGGTGCAAGCACACTCATGTGGAATTGTGACAAATATTACGAATGTGCCTCTAACCACACTTACTAATTGTATGAAACTGATAATTATGTTTTTGGGTAACACAAAAATGTATCCACCTAAAGTCACGTATAGTCAACTGTCAATTTTGTCCGGTTTGAGTCAAACCTCAATGCATTGATAGGAGAGATTGATATTTTGACATTTTACTTAAAGTATTTACCTATGATCTACATACTCAACAGTGAAAAAATCAGCAAAAAATAAATTATTGAACTTACCATAATGTTCTCCCTAATCTTAAAGATCTGTTAAAAAGTTAGTTATGCCAAACTTTTGCAATATAAAATACACAGAGAGTTATTTACATTCCCAAAATATCTTAATAATCTGCAAGCTCATATATGCTTTTCAATCTTTCCTATAGAATGATGAAACTAGCCCATCGCTTCAAAATGGCTGCCGCCACCGGCGAATACTTTGCCAACCACGAATGGCAATTTGGTGTATCAGAACTGACAACGTTACATAACGAAGCGAGTGCCACGTCGGATGTTAAAAGTTTCTTCCATTGGCCTGCGGAATTTAATTGGGAAACTTACATAGGAGCCTATATTCTGGGTATAAGGAGGTTTATACTGAAGGATCCTCAGGAATCGTTAACACATGCGAGGACTAAATTAAAAAGGTTTGGAACTTTTTTGTTCCTACGGTATTAAGTTTGTGGTACATAGTTTCGAAGCTGGCATTATAATGCTATTGATAATTTTGTGTTTCGCCAAATAAGTAACCATTTTGTTTTTCGGTTACGCAAAACTATTTCGTGCTCATCCATCACAAGTTCGGAAATTCGTTTAAATAACATGTAACAACATATTACCTTACCAGACCCTCTAGTAACAAAAAAAAAACTGTAACGATCTATAAAACGAAGATTAAAGTTAGTAGGTACTTTATTTAATCATTGGCAACCTAGAGCAGAATTGACGACTACAAAAGAGAATATGTCAAATCGAGACGTGTCGGATAGTGATTTAAACCTGGTACTCAATAAAATCATTGCTGTTAATTTGCACCTATTTATTGGCTAATAAATAATATTATATTCTATTCTAAAGTTAGTCCTATTTTTATAATAAGATAGTAAAAGCAAAAGTTGAAGCAATGAGGATTCAAACATTATGTTTCTAGATATTTCACTTAGTTATCTTAAATATTTTGGCTGCTAGAGATAACCATTTACTTTTTATAAATAAGAGCATAAAAAGAGTCGTCTTAAAAAATACCGTTAAAATAACTTGTAGCTTTACAACCTAATTTTTGATAATTCGTATTACTACAGAAACATAAACTATTTATTAGCATAGCATAACACTTGAGAAAAATATAATCAATAATCTGATAATTCGTGGCATCTCATATAATACATTTATATTTTACGTTTGCAAAAACATTAAAAATTTACACAAAAACTTATGAACTAGCTTATTCTACCTCGTGTGTTCATAAGTAGTGAGACAAACTTTTTATAAAAAATTAAATGTTACTAGCCATCAATAATTTTTTTATCAATTTTGAATTTGGAGTGTTGACTTTTAGTTGATTTGTATCACAAATTCATTTGCTTATATTTTCTCGTGATGGAGGCAACGCGGCAAAGGCGGGAGAAAATGATCTTCCGATGCAGATTTTCTGTAACCTTGCCGTAACTTGCCTTGCGGTTCAAAGAGACAAGTTTTCTGCAAGATCGCCAAAGCAGTGGTCGACCACACTTTGTGAGCGCCTGCGAACATCAAAATCATCCGAGAGTGACTTCGCCGAAATCCATGTTGCACTCAGAAGAAACTCCCTCTGCAGACTAATATTTCGCGCGTTTCAGTGAATAGAATACTGAAATATGATCTCAAGGTAATATATGGCCTATAGCCGTAGAAAAGTTCACTTTTTAAACGATGATCTTCGTAAGTTACGATGCGAACGTGGTCCATTACTGCTGAGAAGACATGATGCCAGGAAGATGGTCTTCAGCGACGAGAAAAATTTACTGTCGAAGAAAAGTTTAACCATAACAAAACAATAAAATGTACGCTAAAAATAGCAAGGATATCCCAGCTTCTGGTCGCGCACTTATCGCCCGGCTAGTGTGATGGTATGGTGGGGAGTTTCGTATAAAGGTGTCATTTAACTCCATTTCTGCTAACGAGGTGACATTTAAGAGCCAGTGGTGAAAGCCCTATCTGGTACGTTTCACAATAAGGATTGGGTTTCCCTGCAAGACTCGGCGTCATCCCATAAGGCAAAAAGCACCCAAGCTTGGTTGAGGGAGAATGTGGCCGGCCTTCATCGCGGCGAACGAGTGGCCCTCCTCCATGCTCGACCTCTACATGATTAAATTAGATTAAATTAGAGCTCAGGGCTTGTCGAAAGTCCCACCCAAACTTGGAATCACTGTGGCGAACTCTTGTTCGAGAAGCAAAGCGAATTCCGCTAGAAAAGATATGTGTCGTCATTGATGATGATGACTTGCCAAATCGCCTAAGGGCTTGTATTAAAATCAAGGGCGGTAATTTTGAATAAAATAAATATATTTTATTGTTGATAATTGTCTATTTAATGGTTACTGAAAATTTTAGAAATATAAGTTAATTATTAAAAAAGTTACGCAACTTTTATTTCGTCTCAAAACTTATGAACACACGAGATAAACAAACCTTAAAAGTTACTTATATCTATATATTTTTATTATTAATCAAAAAAATAATATAATATACATTACTATTAAAATAATACAAATTATTATCAGACCTAAACTGTAAAACGCATTAATCTCGCGCAAGTATAGCTTACGCGCTGCACTAGCTACTTAATGCCATCCTGTTGTTCCCTTGTTTTTTTGCAACAATAGCGATGCCTATTGAAAACAAGTAATTAAAACGCCTTCTCGATTGCCAATGTGAGCATTGACTATTAGTACTCCTAACAGAGAGACTAACCACGACGCGAAACGCACATCGTTCGCTCACTCCATACGATTGTATGTATTTGTATGCCCGTGCACCGATTGTTATTTAAGCTATAGTTTTCCATTCCTTCTGAAATTGGAATACTGTGTTTCCACCCAGTATTCTAATTTAACAAATTAAATATTGATTTAAACTTCAGATTATATATTTACCTAGCCGTTATTTGAAAACAATACCAGATCTCGAAACAGCTAGGATTCCTACTATATATTCTTACCTGTTTTTATGTTTTTTATTACAGATTATATTGGGTACACAGATTGTTCCAAGTTGCCACAGGCTACTACGTTTTCAAATTTCTAGCAGGACGCATACGGTAAAGAGGACCACATGTAGTTCTTAGTATTAATAGCTGAATATATATTTTACTTATAGTCATTCGTAGCCGGTAATAAGGCTTAATGTTAACTATGTTTAAATTTATGTTGTTTGTGTGTAAAAAATGAATAAATAAGCAAAGTGATTGGTTAAAATTATTGTGGAAATTGTCATTTGCGTTATTGGAACTCGAAAGAACTACATATACTTACCTAAAATTATAGAATTTTAAAAACACGATTAGATTGATTGTGTTTCTTCAATTAATCTACCTAAATATCATTAAAAAATAAAATGTTAAAACATTTCTAAAATTACCGATATTAGAATATATCCCTTAAATATTTTACATATTAAATGTATTAGAAAAAGTGACGTCATTCAAATCGAAATCAAATAGGCCGTAAAAATTAAAAACCATAAAGAACTGGCGGAAACCACACTTTGGAATGCAGTGCCAAATTTTGGCGCTATTTGTAAAGTATTTAGATATCTTGCTCACATACATAAGGAGTATAATATTATTTGTTTAAATTAATTATATCATTATGGGCTTACGAATGATAATACGTAAAACAATATCAGTTTTTTTAAAGCACCAAATTTTTTCATTCGACCTCTTTAGAGATTGGAAAGAAATAAATATATTAGTTGAAAATTAGTATAAATAGGTATTAGTACGAAATGGAAATAATTCGCATTGTGTATTCAGATTTTATCATAAATGAATTATTATATATTCTAGTCTATTCTTAAAAACTGAGTTAAATCAATTGATCACAAAATAAAACATTTTATTACTTATTTTACTAATAATATAGTATTCAAGCAGATGCATACAAAAACTGCCTTGGTTTTATAACAGAACTTAAACGTTTTATTAATTTTTTGATGCATAATACCAAAATTTCCTTCGCCTTTTTTTTCAGTAGCCAAAGTAATTCCGATATTTTTATATTTATCTTTATTTCCAGCCTATATATATATATATTATATAAATGTCTAAAAACGTTACAACCTCTACTATCTACCTCATTTCACAATTATATATTTTTTTGTATGCATCTAATAAGTATGTTAAATACATACTTGACAAAAAAAAAATTGTAAGCACAACGATGTATTAAATATTGTTTTAATTAAGTTTTAGTATTATGAAACAAGTTGAAGTTACACATTAAATATATATAATAAAGAAATTAAATAATACACACTTTTGTACTTATACTCCATTCATTATAACATTAGAAAAAAAGAGGGTCATAGAAGCAGCAGTGCAGAACATTTTATTTCCAAGATAAATTTAAAAAATATATATTAGTTTTGTTGAAACTTTGAACGCTAGGTAGTCTGAAAGAGTTGGGCAATTTTCCATTTTTTACGATACCTTGGGGTTGAGATGAGGCCAGCATTTTATAAATTCATCTTTTACTCTCAAGCCAACATGGAACTTAAACTGAAATTATCTGTCTGTCGTTTTGATAAATTCTAATTGTAAGTGTAATTAGTTAGACTATTGATGAAGACATTGGAAAAACTTCCTGAAATGTCAAAGGTAGGTATGAGGGCTTAGAGCGTAATTTTTGTAGGCCACTCGGGCCTGCACCGGCATCGTCCATATTTAACAAAACTTAACAACTAAAGTAAAACAATAACAAATTATTCACGGAAAACGGCAAAACAACAAGAAAGTAGCATTCACAATGGATGACAATCCCAAATTACGATTTTAACAATTATGAATAAATAATAGTCTGACAAAATTAAGAAGCTGTACTGCCTAAACGTTTGAAGGGGTTAGGCAACGTTTTAAATTTGGTAGAGTTATAGTGATATGAGAATCGTGCCGAAACTTTTCAACCCTGCTTCTTTAGGTTCTTTACGATGAACACTTTTTATTGTAATAGTTATTAAATCATTTAAGTTAGTTATATACTCATAAATTTGTTTAATATATAGATTAAATGACAACAGTTAAGTATAGCAGCTGGTATTTAAGTGGATATGTAGCAAATTAGCCGTCAGTCTTAAAAGTAACATGATTATTAATATTTTGTCACAAAGTATACCATAAAAAAAAACCTTATTTAACTTCTGCCTAATGCTTTAATGAATAGAGTATAGATTTTTTATTAAAGTTTATAATACATTTAAAATACAAAGTTTCTCTCCAAAAATGTTTTCAAAGCTCTTCAATTTTATCAGATATAAAAAAGTATTGGGTTAATTATTTATTTTTTGCTTATATATTTTTCCAGATGAGGATCAATTAACTATAATTAATTGATTTTTTCATGAATAACTTTAATGATATCTATGAAATCAAATGAAAATATTCAAAAACCCATTTTTTTCAACAAAAAAAAAGGAATTTTAAATGTTTTCTAGAAACTCTACATGTAAAATATAAATGTAATAATATTCAAATAAATGTACAGATTGTAAAACCTGTTTAGATTTATTTTTATTCGTTTAAATTTATAAAAAAACGTATTCGATGCCAGTATTTATAATGATAATTACAGTCATATAAATTGCTCACTCTAGTATAATAGCTCTATGGCAATGAAGGAAAATCTAAAGACCTACCCCGATTTATAGTTGGTCAGGTTGAATTAGTAAGCGAATCACATAAAAATTATACCAATGAACAGCCAATAGAATCGTACTCATACCACACGATTCATTTAGGAAGGGGTTTTCAAAACAACACGACAAGGGAAAGTAGAGAGGGGATTGGAACTTGCCATGCAGTCAAATACCATTAAAGAAGTCGCTTTTAAATCAAAGGTAGTACTGCAGCACTGATAGAAAACAATAGTTTAAAAGGACTCGAATGTATTGATATTAACAAAACTGTTATCAAAACATTATTTTCATTTGTTATGGTGAGCTATTCAAGTAATGTGCGTGAAAACACTGAACTGGGGCTAAGCGTGGAGCCTATTACTACAATATCTTTTTTATAAATCATAAAACAAGGTACACTTAAAAATATACATAAATATATACAGACCCATCTTAACTACAACAGGCGCCTGGGTGCACCCAGTGCTCTGGCGCTCGTTGTTCAGTGTCAGCAGTAAAAAAATTATGACAACTTAAAAATAACTTTGAAATAACATGACAACTTTGGGGCGCATTACTGAAGTCATCGATGAGTAAGTACTACGAGATTAGACCAGAACCGGCGCGGCGCCCCCCCAACGCGCGGCGCCCGGGTGGGTTGCATCTCCTGCACCATGGGTGTCTTTACCCTGAATGACGTTAAGTTTCATGAAATATCTCAATATTCAGCGCTCGATAGGCGCCAGCGGGCACTACGCGAGTGGGTGCACCGCACCCCTTGCACCCCCGGGTAAAAACGGCCCTTTATATAAGTATAATAACCACCTATCAAATTCCACGGAACCGAACATTAACTAATAAATATAATGCTTTTGAATATGCACGCTATGAAATGAAGTTGTCTTTTATTAAAAAAATATATATTGAAAACTCTTTTGAATAATTACATTTTTTTCTACCAAGGTATCTGAGATGTCGCATTAAACTTTAATGGCATTCATAAATTGCATTCATTAACGATTCATAAACGATAAATTTATTTTTAGATTTTGTTGTTGAAAAAATAGTTCTATTTACTTAATATAATACTATTTTTGTACGGTTGGTAACCGTCCAGTAGCTCGGTGGCGTATTGAATAAGCGCCGTGACATTTGTTGTTAAGCAATTTCGCAGGGGTCGGTCACGGGATGGGTGACCAAAAAATTATTTCTCTAGTTATCCGTAATTAGGAAGACACGTTAAGCCGTTGATCCCGGCTGAATTTTGTAATCTTTAATACCCTCTAATTGGGCCAACGTGGAGGGTCATGGACTAATGACCCACCCACCTTAACCGTCCATAAGGAAGGCTTGACTCCCTATAGTGGGGACGTAAGAAGGCTGATGATGATGATGATGGTAACCATAGTTTTGGATCCCAAGCCCTTCCCCCAAAACTATATTATATTGGGTATATTGGATTTCTTGGGTATATCAGGTTTATTGGATTTAAGGTGTATGCCATTGAAATTTTGGCCAACCTTCGTACTGGTATACTTTTCTATTAGGCACTATATTTGGTATTGTAGCAAAAATAATGTTAGCTTTGCCAGACGTTAAACATTCAACTTTGATCCATGATTAATTTTCAAATTAACCTAATAATATTACTACACTAAATTATGGGAATAGAATATTCGATTATGGTTACTATGTTATCTCTTGCTATTTTTTACACTTCCTGCTAAAATAACTTGCTTTGTTACGCTGCGAGACGGAAGTCAGGAACATTATTCCTAAAAAAAAAAATATCGTTTGTCCTATCATTGTGTCCTTGAATGACAAATGCCGGTTTAATTTAAGTTTAATAACACTCTTGATTTTTTTATTTTAGTATAAATACCATAGAATTACTAAGAGAGAGTTTTAGCTAAGGTTCTCGTTTAAATATTTCCAAAACTACATAACTAAGATTGCTATTTACGGGCAATTTGAGTTTGAATCCCATCATGGACACTTGCGACTTATTGTTTAAATTAAGTTTTTAAGATAAAGTATCATAAATGAAACATGAAAATTAAATAACAAATAGATGTTTAAAATCTTTATATTTAAAAAAAGGTTTTTATCAAAATTGGTTAGAATTATATACAATTTCATTACATTGTTTAGGTATAATAATAGCTTAATAATAACTAAACGTTTAAAGTACTTTTACAGCGTTTGTATATATATTTACAAATCAATTACCTTTGTTATTTTAAAAGAATATTTCGAAAAATACAAAAAAAGAGTATTTATTATTAAAAAATATCAATATATTATTCTGAATTATAACTCATGACAAGTGCAATATTTAAAAAACAAACAATATTCTTGACATATAACAGACGAAGTAAAATCAACATTTAAGAACGTATTATTAAAATTATCTGGAAATTCAAAACAAAATATGAATTCTACATATATTTCACTTCAAAATTTAAAGAGATTGCAAGAAAATTAATACTTCATAATCAAAATTATTAATGGCAAGTAAGCAATATATTTACATATTACTTAACTAATCATATACAAAATTAAAAATAAAACAGAATAACAAAAAATCAGTCTGGTAGAATAAGGAAATAAAATTACCTTAAAAAGTTATAAATTCACGTCGCAACCAAATTATATAACTACATTACAATACTTAATACATGTTAACAAAGTTATAAAAGACTTTATAATTACACTTCACCTACACGTTAAGACTTAATATAAAATTCACTTAAACAAAACAAAACCAGTCTTCTGCCACACTTCGGACATTTTATTACAACAATAAGATGGCGACTATGCCGCCATTACAGACGGCGTAACATCACTGGTTGAGCTGAAGAAGGAACCCATCCCAGAAAATAGACCCTTCATCCAATATAATATTAGAGCCCAGAAGAGTATTTGAGCAATCAAATCAACCCAGTACATTCTGAAAATAAGAAAAAGATCTTTATTAAAAACTTTTTAAATATCATAATATAAGTAGTAAACGCCTAGGTGTTTCAAAACACACCCGCATATGCAGATCAGCAGAGCGACCGCCTAACTCCTCTAGCTATATAACTCTAGTCATTGCTATAAAAATTTTTTTTAATGATTTTATTAATGAATACGTTCATATTATTTTATTATGATATGTTATTTTTATTATTTTTCAAATATTTTGTTTTTGTTTAGCTAAATTCGATTTAAGCATAAAGCTAATTATAGCGAGAGAGACAGGCGGTTGCTTTGCAGAGCCCTTAAATGTAAATCCGTATTTATATCCACGGATCTCAAAAAATGGGCACCATCATCCTTAGTTAAAACAGTGACAGAGAGCGTTAAATTTGGGCGTTATATCTCACCCATGCTGGTTATTTTTTTACAAAAACAAGTTAAATACACCATTCAATGAGAAAGTATTAAAAAAAAAACATTAGTTCTTGAAATCTAACTAGATGTCGCCACGGTATGTTCTTGACAACCTTTCCGGTTTTCTTTCTCGTTCTTCAAATTAGTTTTCAAATCCCAACAAACAACTCATATTCTATTTGTACTTTTTCGTATTTGTATTGATATCTAAGTTTCGAACTTTTCAAATTTCAGTTTTTTAATATGTTAGTTAATAGGAACGGAAATGACTATCTTTGGTCCATTAGTTTCCTGCAAAAATCAACTTTTGCTAGAGTCGCCATCTAGTGGAGGTACTTTTTTAGCATTTCCTTTTTTTTAATACTTCTTCATTGAAAATTTGTGGCTGTATCAACGGGTAAAGTTTATTTCATTTATATAATAATAGGGATGACGACTAATTTTTGTTTGTTTGTCCGTTAGGTAAATTATAGAAGAATATTAAATACTTTCTTTTTAATTTTTTGCGTAATCCTTAAATTATGGCGTTAAATTAAATTTAAATGTACATTTTCTACAAAACTGTGACGTAGCGAGTCTACTCGCAGGTCAGTGTAAAATAATACAGCTCGATAGTTTAAAAGTGAATACTCCTATTTCTGTTTATGGTATGTTTGTTAAAAGAATCTCTTACACTCTCATGTGTCTCCTGGCTGCCGGGAGAGTGTCATCATACTCCTTCAGAATGTAGATCCTGGCAGCTTTGATGCAGTCTTCAAAGTACTTGGAGATGTCCACGCCTAGTGGTATACATTCATGTTAATATTTAAGTAATTGGTAATTACACGAATATAAATGAAATAAAACTAAGTAAAAAATTATAAAAATCGGTCAACAATTGACGAAGATATCGGTGAACATACATAAAAAAAAACATATATCGCCGTTGAACATATAACTTCCACCTTTTCAATTTTAAAGTCGTTTAAAAATAGCATGGAAGTTAAGCAACTTTCGCAAGAGCCGATCAGAGGATGGGTGACCAAACATTTATTATCTCAAGAATCTCCGTATTCCGGAGCCGTTTATCGAATGGATCTTTAGTCGTTTATATCCACAAATATATAGCTACTTCTCCCTCTTTGATTTCATACATAAAGAAGAAGAACGACTGTTCCCCAGCAGTGGGATTTTAATAAGCTGATTAACAGAAATGTACATACCGACAGCATCGACCTTATAGTCCCGTCTCTCTCTAGCGTTCATCCTCGTTCTCACTTTCTGTGCAGTGTCCGATTTGAAGTCCCATTGATTGTTCGTGTAATATTCGAACACCTCGAAACCTTTACTTATGCGCCGGTGAACACGCATCAAACTATAAAACACACAATATAAACCAATACAAAAAAACATGTTCATTTAATAAAAAAAAAATTCAAATTAAGAAACAAGCGACATCTATTTACAGTCAAAATTAATTATTAAATGTCTTTCAAGGTATAACATTTGTTAAAACGTCGTTCCAAAGTAATAAATTCAATGTTACACGGAATATTAAAATCCTTCATTAGAATTGTTCCCGACGATCGACGACGAAAATAAAACTTTTATAGTTTTTGTATACTTTTTTATTATTAATATTTCTTTTGTATTTTGGTTTATTATGTCATTATATAGAAAATAATATCGAAACCCACTGCTTTTTATTTGAAATTGTTATCAAGAAAGAACCTAAAAAAATACCTAATTCACTCTAAGTTTATAAAACTAAGAATATAGTATATAAACATGTTGTAGTAATTATTACAGAACATAAAGACCTTTTAATATTGAATAGATAACAAAATTATAGCTCTAATGCAAATATAGATGAAAGTAAGTTGTATGACTCTGTAACATTTTATTAGCCAGAAGAACGCCTACTGCTTAAAAAAGGACTCCCTCAAAAAATTCCACAACTTTTGGGGCAAACCTTTATACATATTATTTCTTGATTTGATAATGACATGATGATTTTGTAAATACAATTTACTTCTATTGTATCTGGTGGTTTTTTATATGTTGATTTTAATTTTAAGGTTTAGTAAACCCTGAAGGTGCTTACTTACACAGGCTTATAACCAAGACAGAACAGTAGAGTATCGATGAGTATAGCCGGTAGCCAGTGGAAGAAGAACGCGCAGATGTTGTGATACAGACGAGAATGCTTCATAGAACCACCAGGGTACCTGACGACAATGGTAATAACTTAACACAAAAGCGGAAAGATTCGAAAGTTTCACTATTTAAACACTAGTTTTACTGCAGGCACAGGTTCTCCTGCTTGCAAAGTACCTAAAGATGTACAAGCATTTGCTGATGAGAGTACAAACTCTAAATAAAAACGATCGGGAAACACTGCTGAAGAAGTCTAGTTTTAATCTACTGAGTGAAAGTTTATAGCAAATTATTCTCTCTAAAAAAAAATTGCAACTATACAATTGTTTGTGCCATATAAATAAGGATATTTTCTGTTGTATTTCCTCTCTGATAATAATATAAAATGTGCCTAGTTTGTAAATCTATTAAGAGTGGAGACACTGGGGTTCTGCCCCTAAAGGATATCCTTTTTCACACCTGCTACTTGATTTTAATTTCTGTGTTACTTGATACCTGTGAATGAATTGTTATTAAACATAGCACTCACCAAACTACACCATTGAGAGGTACTCTGTTCATGATGATTTCCCTGCCAGCCTCGATCAGTTCGTTCCATGTGACCTTTATCTCCGCTGATGACGTGAAGTTGACTATGTTCCTCTGTTTGTCACTGTGCCATATTTTTTTTATTTGAATTATTTCATAAAACAAGGAACAGTAACATAAGTACGCAGAGCAGTAAACTCAGAGTAGATACACATATACTTAACCAGACTGACTCTTGAATGGCAGCAGATTTCAACATATTTGAAACTTACTGTGGATTATAAACATTATTGAGAATGAAGTTGAAGACGGATGACATGATTCAAAATTAAAAAAAAAAAAACTTTTTCAAATTAAGCTTCGCACTGGATACTAAGTGATGTATTAGCACTTCCACATTCAGTATGATTTATGATAAATGAATTCTAGGAACTAGCAAGCGAAAAAGTATGATGATGATGATAAATTATTAATAAACTCCTTACCCATAAACCAGGTAGTTCCAGGCCATGATCATGATTCCATTGATGAACACATCGACTGGCAGATAGTCGGCGTAACTGTTGCTCTTACAATACATAGTTCTGATAACACCTTTACCGGCACCTGAGCAATTAAATTTTTTACGATATATCTTGTAATTTCCTCGCATACAATATAACATGATAACAGTAACATACAGGAGTTGAATGGGAGAAAGTTATTTCAAGATTATTTTATATTTGTAAAATTTTTGGGTTACAATTCAATCAGATCTCCATCGTCTCAGCTCTCATTTAGCTCAGCTGTTATTCTGTGTATGCATACTTTAGTGACATCCTTAAATGCGAAAATTTATAAAGATGTATATATGATATATAGATGTATGCACGAGTATGTATGTTTGTTACTCTTTCATGCAAAAACAACTGCAAAAAGGGATTTTGATAATATATAATTCTAAGAATGAAACAACTTTGGGAATTTACTTTTTATCCCACAAAATCGATTCCTAAAGTTCACGCGGGCGAAGCCGCTTTCGGAAATCTTTGTTCAGTTATAAAAACATAACCTAGAACTCGTCGACGAGTGCTGCACTGTCACTACGTAGAGGTTTGTTTAAAAAATAATCTGATTAATATAACTTTACTATCATCAAATACTAATTTTCAGTAGGTTATATTCTTTTCCTGTGTCTTACAAAGAACTTTGATAGCTCGCTAAAAGAAGTTGTGGATGAAAGAGAATTTAATGCAGTGTTTTTTATCACAATTTCCAATACTTTTCTAAAACCCACCTCGTATACTTTAGCAGTGCTATTAATAAAGAAGGTTTAGCGTCAGAGTAAATTTACGCTAAAATTGCAATTCTAGTAAATTAGTCCAAATTCATAGTATACAGAGAATAAGCAAACCTCCTACCTTCTAGAAATAAATATTACTCCCGTAGAACCTCGTACTAGGTTAACCTTTGCTAAGTCTCCGTTTGGTAATATAAATTTTGACTAATACTAGTCTCAGCGTAAATTTACTCCAACGCTAAACCTTGTTTATTAATAACACTGTAGGAATATTCGTTTTTTTCTAAATGAGTCGAAACTTGTGTTCGTGAGTTTATTTATCACTTACCAATCAGCAAACCAGTAGGGCCGTTGATGTTGTCGGTCCACCCAGGAAGCGGCTCTTGCCATATCGGGATCACTGTAATATGATTACGTATAAATGAAACAACTTGTAAACCAAAGGCTTGGGTACCAGTAATTTGTTAAATAAAATATCAATCCAGATCACACATTGCAAAACTAAAAGATACAGTTAGATCAATCTGTAAATTTTAAAGCAAAGGGAGCAATTCACTTTTCTTGTCGGAGTTTCTTTCGCCATTTCTTCTCATACGAGACTCCCAACTTTGGGACTTGTGGTAGATTACGGTAGCCAGGGGTAAATAAGTTAGTCAAATCTAATTTTTAAAATAATAATTGGATGCAAATTACGTTTTAAGTCAAACGTGTATATAATTTATAAAGAACAGTGGATTTTGTTAATAAATAAAATAAAGATAAAAGTAACCAAAATATTTAGTCGTTTTAAAGCCAATAAAACAAATTTCTCAAATGAATGGAATAAGTGTATTACTTACCGATAGAAGGTCGGAGTATGACGGCAGGAATGTGCTGCATGTATTCCACCACAAGACCCTCGCCTAGAGCTTTGGTGAAGGCATACGAGTTGGGCAGCTTATTCAGAAGTCTGTCATAAAAATTTATACACAATATTGAAAGATGATATATATAATAATTTTCTAAATGAAATATATGGTTATTCTGATTTTGTTGGGAAAAGCAACTGTCAAGTCAGTCAGTGGATTATCCAATCTAAAATTTTGTACGATCTAAATCTAACAAATATTAACTTCTTAATGACTAATGCTTAAAAAATCCACTGAAAAGGGTCAATGTCCCTGGCACTCTGAAAAGGGGCCCGAATCCATGACCTTTTGCAATCCGGATGACTGTTCCAACAACTGAGCTACCCAGGACCTAATAGGACTGACGAGTTATTCAAGTCCCATCTCAGAGTGCCAGGGACAAAGTGGATTTTTAAGCATTTTTCATTAAGAATAGGTATTAACTTTTTCTTAAAACACTACCACGTACAAGATTAATTAAAATTATAAGAATTCCAATATGAACCGCTGTTGTTTCAGATTTGAAGTGGAAAGTAATGCTCACAAGTATTTGCCTTGCAATTCTTACAAAACTTCCATTTATCATTAATCAATGGTACCTAGCATAATCAGGTACTATGAATTTATTATTTCAACCATTTCGAAAACCTTTGCGGTTTATACAGATTCCCTTAAGGATTTCAAAGTGAACCGCGGGCAGAGGGTAATTATATTAAAAAAAGTTAAATGTTTATTAAAGAATATGCTTGTTACACACTGCTCATTTCAGAAGAACCGTCAAGACATTTGTCCCGCTTGCTACAAGTGCAGACGTTAACACAAGCCGATCTGTGTTCAAACTCACGTAATACTATGGTCCATTCTCTACAGGGGTACCGATTAATTGAATTGAGCCGATTAATCATGTTAGATTTATAAATATATGGGAATTAGACTGATTGGAAAATAAAAACAATAGAAACTATATTTTTACTTACTTAGGTGTCAATGTTGCGATGGTCTCATCATCCATCCATTCCACCGCCTGAATAACCTGGTGGGGATCCGCTGGTGGCGGATAGGGCTTTTCTTCCAAAAGTTTCTCGTGCAAATGACAATAAGCTGTTGATATGTGCATGAAGAGCTAATGGAAGAAAGATAGAGATTTCTTAAAACATTTATCATAATCAATACCTATATTTCGAACAAACCAATATTATCATTGACCATAGTCTTATAAGGTCTGTGCAAACCGGCATCAGGCTTTATTATAATTATAACTGTACTTATACTGTATTCATATTTTGTTACCTGTAGATTTTTGCATTGTTTTGCGAGTTCTAAAATCAATTTGGTTCCTCGTACGTTAAGAAAAACTGCTTTCTTCAGCTCTTCATCAAATCTGTAAGTATAGTATTCTTTGTTAAGTCCTAAAATAACAATTTACTTTTTAACGATATTTTTAATATAGGGTATTTACAAAAGTTTTTAAATAAATTACAAACTAGCTCTTTTTCCGCAACTCCTGCCATGTATTTCCACGTATTTATTCCGAAGATTACCGCCTACAAACAAACAAAGGTAGAAATTTTACCACTTTATGATATTAGTATTAGATGATAGACACGTCACCTGATGGTAGCAGCAGCGTGTATTATAACATTCACTTCATCGATAATCTTCTGTCTGTCTCCCTCACTCATAGCTAGGTCTGGTGCACCCACATCACCGCTGATGATCGTCACCTTCTCTAAGAGTGGTTCGATACCACCTCTCAGGTTGCGGAGCATTTCAAACAACTGAAATAGGATAAGAATTATCGATAAAAAAACATATCACTTCTTTTCGATCTATCAGGTTGGCACAAAAGTAATGAGACACTTGGTTTAAGTTTTTACTCTTTTATTATTATTACAATAAAAAAAGTTTAGTCAATGATGTAATTACCATTAGTATCTAAGACTTCTTGCCAACGATCCGGCAAAGTTTGGATGCCTTTTGCCCAGAACTCTGATGGCTGTGCCTCGAAAAAGTTGTTCAACTCCGCCTCTACGTCAGAGAAATCATTAAATTGTTTACCCCGCAAATGCTGTTTCAGGGCTCTAAACAAATGATAATCTGATGGGGCGAGGTCTGGGGAATAAGGTGGGTGGGGTATCGTCTCCCAGCCCAAGTTCTCCAACTGCCGGCGAACCACAGATGCGACGTGAGGTCGAGCGTTATCGTGCAGTAAAACTACATTGACTCGTCTTCGTCGTTTTTTTTTTTGATAGCGGTAGATAATTTAGTAAGCTGGGTTGAATATTTGTCAGCGTTTATAGTTTCATTGTGTAATAGCTCATAAAACAGTATGCCTTGCGCATCCCAGAAACAGCAAAGCAGAATTTTTCGGCGGTTCTTTTGACTCGGCTTCGGTTGAGTTGGTGGGGTTTCTTCTCGAGGCAGCCAAAAAGCAGGACGTGTATCGTTCTCGTAATAAATCCATGATTCATCTCCAGTAACCAGATCTGACAAAAACTCTTTACGTCGGGGTCGCAGCAAAAGTGACTGACAGATAGCAACACGGACTGCACGACTGGCTTCTGTAAGGATGTGCGGTACCCACCGAGCCAAAACTTTTCGATAACCAAGCTGGTGATGATGGTGATGATGATGAATCAGATGGTGTTCCACGGCGTGGTGACTGCATTTAAGTGCTTCCACTAATTCACGAGTGGTAGCATCGGGATTCAACTGCAGTTCGCGGCGCAAATCGTCATCATTCACTGCGGGTGGTCGCCCTGAGCGTGGCTGACTTTCAAGGCTCCTGTCTCCTGATTTAAAACGGTCAAACCATCGGGACACCGTCGCATGGCTTGTACTTCCAGCGCCTAATGCATTGTTGATATTGTCAGCCGCAGCCCGCGCACTGTGGCCTAACAAGTACTCGTATAAGTATAGTGTTCGAACTTGTCGCTCGTCCATTTTTCTTCAAACTGACTAAACAAATCGCGAGCGCGGCTTTATATACCCTACACCAGAAGTACCTAGAATGTTCTACAACATTCTAGAATATTATCGGAAAAATTGATTTTAAAAAGGAAATGTTATAAATTTTTCTAGTGTGTCTCATTACTTTTGTGCCAACCCAATAGAAAGAAAATATGGATACGTCAATATTCGTAAAAGCAGAAGTAGTCTGTAGCTACAGTTAATTTTGTAATGCTGCTAATATTTGCAGCTCAAGTCACACTCAGAAATTTAATAATAATAACTGTTTTGGGTAGCTTTTAATAAATGCTAGTCAAATGTTCTTAATGAATAATGCTTAAAAATCCACTTTGTCCCTGGCACTCTGAGATGGGATACGAACCCATGACCTTTCGCAATGTGAGCAACTGCTCAACCACTGAGCTAACAGGATTGGCGAATATTTCAAGCACTTATTACTTTTTCGCTACTACATGGCGTATTTTCATCAATGTTCGGACAATACATTAAACAGCCGAAAGAAATATTTTTTACAAATATTTCAACTTTCGATAAAGAACATTTATCATTAAGGATATTTTTCAGTATCACACAAATGTCAGTGTCACATGGTGTTGCGCAAGACTAACTAAAACTAAACAGATTCAAAATCAATATTCTTTTTACTAAATTGGTAGCATTTTCACAGTACAAATATATAAGTAGGTGCACTCGAGACCCGAGAGATAATAGCGTAAACACGTAGAGCTGGCGCTTATAGGTTATTCCATCGTCAGAAATGCATGGTCAATCAATCTCTGAAATATAGTTTCCCTCGGTATGGTAAGCATTCGGGAACTATAATAGAACATTTTAATGTTTTTTTTTTAATATATAGACCAGGAGTTGACTACATTTTTTTTCATACCTATGTCATGTCATAAATTTAGTGTTTTGTAAAATTAAAACGTGGTTTTAATGAATAACTTATTTATTCATTTTTTCCAAATAATCAAGCTACGAACAAAATAAGATAATACCGATCTTAATTTTTAATAATCATGTGCTTTGTATAAACAATTTCTATCAATTTTTATATTACATTGTCCAATATGCAAATATACAATTCTATATCAATTTCAATTTGGTAGTATACGGGCATAAAGATTTAATAAATTAAACTACAAGTTGATATCTGGTAAATAAAATCTTGAGCAGAAATAATTCATAAACACTTTCGATGGGTAAATAGCTACACAAAATGTGAAATACAATTTTATGGTTTAGTTTTCAAAGCCATCTTGTACGGCATACTAGCCACCTGGCGAATTGCCACTCGTGCCTTGAACTCCTATAACTTCGGTAATTTTGTAAGTGTGTGCGTGCGACGATGCATACGCTCGGGCGCACTCATATACAAACCATTTTCGGTGCGTATGTATGAAGAGCACTTACTCTTTATACTCTGGCATTGAAATCTTTTTTTTTGTTTCCTACCACCCTTTCAAAACCCTTTTCAGAACAATAGATGCGTGAGACTCCACAACGTGTAAAATAAACAGTTAAAAAAAGAACATGTTGTTATAGTGCAGTAATATAATGTCGCGTGCGTACATTACATTTCTTCAACGTCTACCTTGTTACTTTCAAATGCTAAGTCGATAGTTTCAACATTCTATGTTAGCACAGACCGTAGGCAGCCATTTTCTTGCACAAAGTTCCTAATGGCGCTAAATAATTAGCGAATATACAACGGAAAGCTAAATTAACAGTGCCTTTTCATAACAAAAATATTGGTGTAACATATTCCTGTTGCAAATGCAAGTAAGTCAGTTAATGATTTGAAAACGAATCTGGACTTTAAATTCTAGTTGTGAGTCGATTACATCAAAGATGTCAAAAAATTAAATAAGTAAACGATTTCCTGAGAAAAATATACTGGGTATTGCTTTGTGTAGGTGCGTGTAATTAGTGTGTGTGTCCCATCGGTACCTCACAAACTGCGATAGGATTGTGTAGGCCTACAGTGCCGAGTGAACCCTAAATCGTTATTAGATTTTAAGGCTAACTGTGTGTAAACGCAGGTATTGCCGCGGTAGTCGAAAATCTACAAATATCACCGAGATATGTGATTCAATTGTAGTTTTAGGCAATTGCACGCAAATTTATTCAAAAAGTTAAACTTTTTTGAAAGACCAATTTATATTCGTTTGAATGGACTCATGGCACACTACGCACAACAAATCAGAAAAACAGAATAACGATTAGTTTGCGTCCAGCCGGTGCCAGAGCATGACGTCCATATAAACGCAAGTCACCATGCGTAAGCACACTCAATATTTTGCTAATGATTGAATAGTCAAAAGAAACCATATATACAGATTCAAACTAGGTCACAAGGTGGATTATAGTTTCGACCATTATTGTAATTATTTAATTTTCTTTTATATTGCATTATTTTTCGACAATAAATAAAAATAAAATACCGTGGTGATAGCTACACAATTATCTTCTTGAATTTATTGACCGCGGTATACTCGTTAATAGCATAAATTACTACTAATAGTTTTATTCTATTTTTAAGAAAATTCTATATAAAAGCAATACAGATCGTTTGGTAATTCGTTCAGATAATTAGGTAATTATCGTAAAAAACAATTTCCGCAGTATGAAAATTGCATTAGAACTCTTATTTTCTTGTCCTAAATTAAACCATGAAAATTAACTTTGTATGAGAGTTACTAAATTAATACGACATGAAACCATAACCCAGTCTGTATTTTAAACCTAAGTACTTAATTCAAAAACCTTGTTTATGTTTAGATAACTTTCTTAATCATCGTTTAAACTTTTTTATTTAACAGTTAATCAAATTTTATCCCTTGGAATTACATTATTTACACTATCGCGGATGAAGCTATCACCGATGGTGAAAACAAGCTATCAATCGAAGCTATCACCGAGAGTTAATACTCGGTATTAACTTCACTATAGAATTCTAATACCGATTGATAATAGCATTTATATTTGAGTTTAGGGTTCTGTAGAAACAAATAAATACCTCATGTGAAATTTAAAACCCTACTTTCACCTATAACTACCTATTTTTCTAATTTAGGATTTCATTTTTAGGTAACAATTACGTTGCAATTTCGTTCAAAATAACATGTTGATCATACGAAAAAAAAAGTTTCTATTAAATAGATATTTATTTATTAAGACTATCAAAAGTAATACATAAGTGCCATTGTAATAATATTAGTCGGTAATAAGTCCGTAATGTAGTGATTTTGATAAAAAAACTTTATCAGTATTAAAAATTGTTGATTGAAACTTAGAATAGCCAATAATTAGTGTTTCACTAAAGGTTTTGTACGGAACCAACATGCCTATTATTTTTCTACCCTCGGTTATAGAATCACGAATCGCGGTATTAGCTTCATCCGGATTTTTATGTTTAATATTTTTTCTTAATGTATTTCCTCAAAAACTATCTACATATTTATAGATTCCAAAATTTTACCTCGGTAATACCTGCGTTTACCTTATATAAATATTGTAAAATTATTGATCTACTATGAAAAATAAAATATTGTAATGCCGATTGTCCAAGCGAACCTCGTTCCGCTTCAGAATTTAAAAATGAGGCTGTGTAACCTTACACTATATTTTAGTATCATAAATACATTAGTTTATATTCATTTTATTTGTGCGAATAATTGAAACTATTATCTCTTATATCCTTAAAGATTGTGAGGATAAAGATTGTAAAGATTGTATCTTTTACGCATAAACTACTGAGCAAATATTACTTTAAATTTAGACAGCTACTATAAAAATAATTACAATTTCAGAATCTGTGCTGTCATCACACGAAACGTGACTTAGCAATAACGAAACATATATGTGTATTCGCAAAAGATTTAGCAAGCGGCCTTGGCCCTTCAAATCACGTGACGCTACTTATATCTTAATATTGTGTTTGCAACTGCAGATTCGGAACATGATATTGCAATATTGTTCATTTTGACATCTACATAGTTCAGTGTTTCAATATTTTGAATTGTAATTTAGAATTATAGAAAAATACTTCCAAGGTATCTTTTAGTGTAATAAATTACCAAGTTGATAACACTGCTTTCAAATCTATAATCATCATCATCAGCCCTTTTTTTACGTCCCCACCGCAGGAGCTCAGGCCTTCCTTATGGATGGTTAAGAAGGATGACCCTCCACGCTGGCCCAACGCGGATTGGAGGGTATTAACTACTGCAAATGCAGCCAGCAGCTTCGCCCGCGTGCGTTCTATATTATACATACTAATAAACCTTTCTCTTGAACCGCCCTGTATGTATATTGTTTAAAACTACTTTAAAATCCATTTTTTTAATTCAAAAGATCTCGGTGTAATACAGCGAGAAGCGACATTGTATTATAACCAAACACTGTTGCAAAATTATCTTCTTCATTACGGCCAATAAAACGTAATCGACTTTTACTATTTCCTCTGCCATCTAGAAAAGCAAAAAATTCTTTTCGCTTTCAAATCGGCAAGATTATCATGGACTAACCAATTAAATGTGTTTCTTAATCATTTCATTTAACTAAATAGGTTCTAGTGTAACTACGCGATTACTACACTCCGTTGCGTTTATTATAAATTAATTGGCCTGTGTTTATTTTATGACTAAATAACTTTATGACTTAGACTGTAAGCTCATTAAGAGATGCAATACGAATAAGACAAAGTTTCATGACTCTATCGTTGCTTATCCTTATTGTTTAAACATAAAATAATCGTTCTGGACGTGAAGCTGATATTAAGCAGAAATATAAAACCAACTTACTTCTCCGTTCAATATCTCTTCCAATCTCTGTTTCGGATTCTTGCCTTTCTTGGTACGCACAAGAAGAAAGATCTGCCCAATATCTGGACATTTTCTGTAAACAGATATATAATTATAAAATATGTGCTTATTGCAAAAGTATGAAACGCCAATCAGAACGCCCCTAAGGTTTAAAATCGTTATCTTCTCTAATACAACGCAGTTGAAAACAATACAGTATCTTTCTGTTTGTGGTAGCCTGGTAGGTACATACGTCATGTAATATGAGAAAACAAAACTAGCTCTCCTTCAAGTTTAGGTTTCAAGCTTAGTGAAAGTTAATTCAATTTCTGATTACTTAATCGATAAGTACCGAATTAGTTGAAGCTAAGCTGACAAGATATTTGTGCTAATAAAAACACAGAAAACATAAAATTACTTTTAAAAATGCATATAGTTAACATCTGTCGTACTCTACGTAATAAAAGTAGCAATGTTACGGGCCCCTCGCAATTGGGAGCTTCGCTTTGGTCTGAAAGTATTAAATGCCAGAAATAAAATAAGTCACCCTCAGTGGCGGACTAACCCCGTCCGGGGTCCGGGGCGACATCAGGCCCGGACCTACAACTTTTTCCAACAGGGACAGAAATTTGTTATTGCGTTTACCGCCCCCGCCCACTGCTAAGACACCTTCTAAAACTACAAAACTGGGCATAAGAAATATTTGATCAAAGAAATTTGCAGCCATTTGGAGGCCCATCAGGACAAGAACCCGGGGCGGACCGCCCCGATCGCGTCCTCCTAAGTCACGCTTCTGCCTAAACTCATATTTTAAGTATAAACATAAAATGACAAATAAAACTCAAGTCACAGATCAGTTGTGTTGAAAAAACAAAGGACGACTTTTCTGTTTCGTTTGCGTTAGTGAAACGTTAGTGATTCCGATTATTAATCATCATTATCACAATAAATATATTAGGTGATTGGAATAATGCCCACAATTTTTGAAAAGTCGTAAATTACCTATCGTCTACAAAATCATCCTGAAATATGTAGATGTCGCTACAGAATAATAAAGAAAGCTTGAAATACCTACCTCAACAGTTTCTCTATGAGCACTTTTCCCATGAAACCTGTGCCGCCGGTGACCAGCAAGCGACGGCCGGTAAACGTCTCCGCTATCCGATCCGGCATACCGTCCACCTCAGACGCTGAGAAACCCTCGGACGCCATGTCTGAGGATCTAAGGACAAAAACAAAATTAAATTTAGGTATTTGAAAATGTTGTATTCACAAAAAAATACGGTAAGTATAAATACTTATGCTAAGCATCGATGGTGAACGAACAAATAAAAATTTAATTAAGTAAAAGTTTATTTTTCTATGAAAATTAACATATCAAAAATTGAGCTTGTTTACATTTTATTCTTTTACGAATTTGGCCACAGACTAAATGATAAATATATTATGCCATGTTTTACCCTATTTGAATATCGAGATATTCTAGCCCTAAGTGACAAACGACCCGTTAGCCTAGAAGCAATTTGGTTGGCCTGTTGTCGCTGTTGATATAAGCCAAACCTAAATTGTTACTATGGTACCACTTGTTTGAAGCATCTGATAGCTTTGTGTTCTTTATTACACTCGCATTCCAACATCGACCTTGACAAGTTTTGGTTACATAAGTCTGTAGTTTTTTGAATGCGCTATTTAACGACCGGCGTGTCCAGTGGCCGAAGAATACTATGCCTCATCTGTGGGTATCCTTGACATAGAAAGTTTACGAGTAATTTAAAACCCACTGTCCACTAACACTTGTCTCCATCAAAAATTTTTCCCCTACCACTTATTCAGGACGTCTTTAACCACACTCTTGGTCTAATTTAGTGATATCTAGAAATAAATCGGTTGAACTATAAATCTTAATTATTTAAAACATAGGCTAGTACTGTTAAGACTAAGATATAGAGCTATAATTCCATATAGCATACATGAGGTATCTATAAAATAGTTTTGACCATTAGACAGAGAACCTTAAGCCACAAATATTTTACAGCGACCACTTTGGCGACAGCTTACATTACCTCGTGTGTTGCATAATAGCGGTTCGTTGTGGTGAGACCTTCACAAAATTAACTCGTTTCTTAGTATAAGAGAAGAGTGAATGAAAGGGAAACATGCAATCTTTTCGTAGAAAAAACTGACGAAGCTGATGCAATGTGAGGATGACAGTTACCAAGTATTTGCTGTAAGATCGCATTGTTATTTAGCACTAAAGGGATTTTGTTCTGATTTCCTTCAGTGCTGTTTTTATATATTTTTGCCCAAAAAATTTTGATGCTGTAGATGACCACATTGAAAGGGTAAGGGATCTGTTACAGATCTTAATTTATTTAAAGCTTTTTTTTTATTTCATATTAATCTCACCAGGTAGATATCAATAATACATTTACAAAAATTTAAATCAACAATATATAATATTATGAATCATATAGCTATATTATAACAATGCCTTGAAACATATAAGTAAACCTATAAGTGTAAACCTATGATTTTCCAATTGTATTCACATATATTTAACTCAAACAACCAAGGATATGTATTTTATCATGCTCATTAATATTGTGCGAGGCTTTATATCATATTGTCTAACCAACGCGATGTCTTTAATCAAATAAACATATTATTATATCCACGTCCAGGGTTACCTACCCAGATACATGGAAGACAGTGTTTTCACCGTAATTTACAAAAACAGTTCCAAAAATTTTCTCAGCATCTCAAAACTCAAGGTGCTGATCTTTTTTTAATGCTGCATTTTTTGAAGTTAATCAATTAACTAACCAAAAGACAATTTGGTTTCAATATCGGAAAATCCCAGGATGCAGACACCCTGTTAACTAATATTGTCTCTCTCACTACTAAAGCTGATAGCTACATAGGGCTACAGGGCATTAAAGCTACATAGGGGTTGTTCTAGACTTGGCCAAAAAATTGGACACTGTTTTAATTCAAGTGCTTACTACTGTGGAAAATTGCGGATATTGGCATCAGAGGTGCAATTTTAATTTGGGTTACCAAATAATATCTGATAGACCTATAACAATTTCAGTATCTCAAAGTTTAGTGTGCCACATGGAACTTTTTAAAAATAAATCTGTCTAGGATACAAAAGCTTTACTGCCTAGTTTGATTCTAGCATTTATCTATGCGGATATGGATACCAATTATATCACTCACCAGTCATAAAAGCAAATTCAAAATGTAATATTGATTGTCGCTGTTTGGTTCTCGTACATATACACCGGTCATTCTTAGTCTAGTGTAAGGGCCAGACAAAAATGTAGTTATCTTTAGAAAGTATTTTTTATTATTATTAACAATAACATATGAGAAAGTAGTGACTTATTTATAGCAAAATAACAACACTTACGAGCTTCTTACGAGCGATTCAGACATCTACACTATATTTTACTTTAATCCATTGCCTTTTTTAAATGATCACCATGTTAGTATTATTATCAAATAGTGGCAAATTGATACTTAATATGGACTCCTTAATTAGTCCCCTTATGTGACTTTAAAATTGGCAATATGATCTGCAAAATTTTGTTACGTAAAAGTAAAAGGGAGAGTTCAGTAGCTCAAGGTCGGTTTAATGAACTCAGCGGTTCACGTTTGCAGAAAAATTATCCACAGCAGTAACTTTACAAAAACTGGAACCATTTTATGTCTGATGTATTAAAATTATGTACCTATAAAGTAGGTAATTGTTTCTTTTGTTTTGAGTAGCTAAGTGATATAAAAAATGATCAAAAGTGAGTTAGACTCGCACAGTAACGGCTCCGTACCAAATTTTTTAATAATAATAAAATACTTTATTGCACTCAATATGATAGATACATTGTTTACAAAAGCTTATTAACTAAGAGATTGAGTAAACAAATGGGCAATTTTAAAAAATAAAAACAACAGTTCGATTAAAAACTGGCCGACATAATATTCAGAAAATTAACATGTTATGTACCTTAAAAAAAACAAACCCAAAAATAATAGTTTCTAAAATTCACCGTGTAAAATTTCATTTATTTATATCCCCAAAACATCAATTTATTTTTAACCGACTTCAAAATCCAAAAGAAGGAGGTTTTATGTTCGACGGCGATGTATGTTTTTTTATTAATGTTCACCGATATTTCCGCCAATTATTAACTGATTTTCAAAAAATTTTTGATGGAGCTTGATGGACGAGGTGGTCCCATTTAAATTTTGTCGAAATCGAATCAGTAGTTAACCAATAGATATCACCTAAATATTTACCTCGTGTGTTCATAAGTTATGTATGAGACGAAACAAAAATTGCGTAACTTTTTTAATAATGAACTTATATTTCTAAAATTTTCAGTAACCATTAAATAAATAATAATCAACAAAAGGCCCTTAGACGGCCAGTCATCTTGGTGGCGCCGAGACTTGCTGAAAAACGTAATGCTTATTATGAAATAACGTATAAGACAGGTGTTTCACCACGGGCTCTAAAATGTTACTCTGATAATTCTTGGCTTTCATCTTGACACTTTGTTGGCAGAAATCGAGCGGAGTAACACCTTTACGAAATTCCCCACCATACCATCACACTAGCCGGATGATGAAGGCGCGAGTCATTCCGTGCAGAAGCCGAGCCCTTTGGCATACACTCTATTGTTTTGTCGGTTGAACTTTTTTTCGACAGTAAAAGAAATTCTCGTCGGTGAAGAGTATCTTCCTGGCATCATGTCTCCTCACAAGAAATAGACTACTTTCGGGTCGTAACTTACGAAGACGATCGTTTAAAAAGTGGACATTACTACGGCTATAAGCCTTTACCTTAAGATCATATTTCAGTATTCTATCCACTGAAACGCAGGAAATATTAGTCTGCAGAACGAGTTTCTTTTGAGTGCAACATGGATTTCGGCGAAGTCACTCTCGGATGATTTTGGTGTTCGCAGGCGCCCTCACAGAGCCTGGTGACCACTGCTTTGGCGATCTTGCAGAGAACTTGTCTCTTTGTACCGCTGTATTGTGTAATAGACGAATTTACGGTTTACAGGAAAACTTTTCTGTATCTGCATTGGTTTTGTTCCTGCCTTAAATAGCAAAATTACAGTTGCACGTAATTGTTTTGTTCCCTTCATGACGAGAAAATATAAACAAATGAATTTGCAATTTCAATTTCGAAATTCTAAATCGGTAAAAAAATACAGTAGAATATCATTTTATTTTTTCCGTAAAAAAATGGTCTGAAAAGTTTTGAACACATGAGGTAGATTATATCTTATGTTATGACATGGCGTTAAAAAAAATAAAGGAGTTTCTGTGTTCAAAGTGTATGTATATTTTTTTATGAAAGTAGATATGTTCATTGATTTCTTCTTGAATTTTGTCAATTTTTTTTCAATTTTTTTTTTTTTGTATGTATGAATTACGGTTTTCCTGCAATTTATAGCCCTTGTAATGTAGCTTATACGCTTATAATGTAGACTTTTCGTAGATAAAAGACTTATGTAAATCAAATACTGTCCAAAAAAAACAAAGCAATAAAACCTTCCTGTTTATAATACGAGTATAGATTATTGGAGAAAGTTATGTCGAACAAATAAACAAACCCCTTTTCTCGATAACTTTTACTATGTTGAATATGTTTATTTATATAGATATATAATATTTTTAGAGTGACCTATTATATAAAAAATATCAATATCAAATCAAAACTTTTCAAAAAAATAAAACTGACTACAAATTTATAAAATGATAAATATTACTTATCTCAAATGCAACATATTCAAGAACGCATTTGAGATAAATATTCTTTATCACTTTTTACTAATTTCTATATTTTTTTAAGTTTTTCAATGAAGTCTTGCAATATTGTCTACGCTAGGGTTGTCGACCGTCCTTTTTTCCCAAGACATGTCTGATTTTTAATGTGTACTGAATAGTTTTAAGACATCTATTGGGTTCACTCTGATAACGTCATACACGTATTTCTAAAAGTTGAGCATAGATCGACTCGCAAACGTTGTTCTACGCGGAGGATTTTTGAAGGAAGTAAAGTAAGGTTTTAATCTAAAGTATTATTGTTTTGTTTTTCATTGATTTCAATTCAATCAACATTATTCAATCAGTTTTATTTTAAAATTTTGTAGATTCTTATCAATTTAATTTCATAAATGACAAAAGAGCTAAAAATG